ATGGCGCTGTTGTCTCGCCGAAACGTAATGAAATAAACGATGTTTCAAAATTTTTACTTCACACTTTGACTGAAACCCAGAAAAGATAGGAATATCATAACAGGTATCAACAACCTAAAAGTACGTTTCTGGATTTGTACATACAAATGCCCAGCATCAATCACATAATGTGGGCCAACACAACGCATTAAAAATTATGTTAATACAGAAATTATAATAAATATAAAGGTAATAGTCTGGGACAAGTGGGACACGATGACACAATCCGATCTGTCTTGCGCTGCTTATGCGCAGTCGCGGCTCCGCACTGAGCCGCGTTGGGTGGGCGCACATGGGTGGCAGAAATTGACATGAATTTGTCAAAAATATTCCTGTTTCAATATAATTTTTAAGGTGTTATATCGAACTAACACTATGAACTAACATAAAATATCCGAAACTCGTGATTTTGAAAAGAAATTATAGTGATATTTAAACGACCTTTTATTTACTCAACATGAGCTCGGGGCTTCGAGCCACTACTTCGGATTTAAATGAAATATGTTTCAATATCTATAACTAATTTTAGGTGAACGAGGAAGTGTTCAAGAATGCGTACATTCCCAAGAGACTCGACGAAGTAGTCGACTTTGAAAGGGACATCAACCAGGCCAAGGCAGGGCTAGGGGAGGAGTTGGTCTACAAGACGTTGATAGGACTGAAGGCGGATTTGAGCGGCACTATCCAACAGCCGGAAATACTGGACACAAAAAGCGAACACTCAAGCAATACGGCTTCTGAATCAGACTCCGAGGAGATGGGGAGCAAATTTGTCCACTCAGGGCGGTCGAAGCACGAAACTCCCGAGGAGAAAAAGGCGCGCAAGCAGGCGGTTAAGACGGAGAAGAGCGAGAAGCGAAAAGTTAAAATAAAAAAACATGTCAAGAAACGATCGGAGGCGAAGCGCAAGCGCTAGTTTCCAACATATATATGTTAAACGCTAAGTAACACGTAAATTAAGATAGGAAGCTTTGATTTATTTTCCCCTTTTCCCTATTATTTAATGCCGAACCAATTAACTGACTGAAGATTTTTTTAACTTTAGTTCGAGTCGGGCTATAAGCCCAAAGCTTTGCGCAATTGGGAAGTACCGAAATTGCACCCGACAACTCCACGCAGAAGGACTGGAAAGACGCGAACCATTGCCAATGACCGTGGGCATATATCGGTGAATTTAAAAAAATCCCATGTACCTGAATCGATCAGCAACCAGAGACTCCCTGAATGCTTCGGTAAGGGAGAGTTAGAGCAGAACACCACTAGCTACGGAAAGTTGCAGGAAATGTTCATGTTTCTGATGGTTTCAGGTAGTGGTGCAAGCAACATCAATAATGGCGAAGCAAATGTTACTAACAACCAGGTAAGTAGATGGGCTTGTTTTAGGCGAAGGCACAATTTTCCACTACAACCCAAACTAAGGCGGCACTTTCAGACTGACCATGAGAAACCAAATAGTTCATTGCCATTCCTGGGAGCAAAAACTACAAAAAGTCCTCCAGTTCTGTTAATATCGATGGTCCAGTTGCATACAGCAACAAGTCCAAATTTGGCCATTTTTAGTTTAATACGGCATAATGTCCAAAATTAAGTAGTTAATCTTTTGCATACAGAAAACTCGAAATGTTTGGACGGGTCAACTTTAAATGAGAAATTTTCTTTTTGTGTTAAGCCGAATTTATAATTAGTCTAGTTTAACAAAGCAACAATTAGACATGTTGCTCTTTGATTTAAATGTATTGGATAATCATGTCAGTTCCATAGAGCAAAATTTTGAGTTATTGCCTTATGGGACTGAACAAATCGCAAAATGTCTTATGTTATTCGCAGCAAATTTTGAGATTAATTGCTAGTCATTATTTTTTGAGAGAATCGTGGGTTTGGTGTTTGTGCTTTTCGCTTATTATCAATAGTTATTTAAGTGCAAAATGAATGAATTTAATTGCATACAACGTTGTGGCGAAACAAGAGCCCAATATATGCTGCGTTTGGCAAGAAAAGAGGCAGTTTTTTACAAGTAGGCAACGGAACCCTTAGTTTAAATTAATGTTTTTTTCAAATAAGTAATAAAATAACGAAACTCTATTTGAAGAAAAAATCAGCCCAAATCGATGCAGAGAAAAAATTATTACCGACAATACGGTCATAAATGAATATGCAAAAGATGGAACCTATACTATATAGAGGAAAACATTATGGTTAAAAAGTATTTCGTCAATAACAACAACGACTTGATAAAATTAACAGATGCCACCAACCAAACCAATAATATTATTATTGCAGATAATGTTTCACACTTAGAATCAGAAGAGCACATTATTATCAACCATGATCAAGTTGTTGGGACTTCTTTGGTAGATAATTTGCAGGAAACAACTAGAGTTCTTAAATGTGGATACCCAGAACATCGTCCAAGTTGGAAATAATATTGCAAATGAGTTTGCTGAGGAGATAAATACTCTTGGAAATGTACAGGCACAAGATCAGAATTTATCTCAACAGAATGCACCTACTTCAGATACTTGCAGTAAGCATTCTATTGACATCGATTCTACCTGTTCGCCTGACAACTTTCACCGGAAACAGAATAATGTAGAAGCTGTCGCTGAAGAAGCTAATAACCAAGACAATGAATCTGATACTAATTTGACTACAAAACTTTTACGAGATCCTGATAAATGGGAAATGTCGATCGCTAAGAAGAGAAGAAATAACGGATTGGAATATGTTAATATCCGAAAAGAAGCAGTTGTTGCTCGCAAAGGTTGCAATGAAAGATGCAGGCTACAATGCAGATTTTTTTACTGAAGAAGCGCGGGATGAAATTCATAAAAGCTTTTGGAGCATTTTAGACATTAATCACCAGAGAGACTATTTTTTGCCATGTATGCAACAAATCAATCCTAAAAATAGAATGCATACACCCAATAGTAACAAGCCTAAAAACTATGCTTACCATTTTGAATTAAACGGTAAAAAAAATAGCGTATGCAAGACATTTCATCTGAGAACATTGGGCATAAACAATAAACTTATATTTACTGCAACCAAGAAAAAAGATGAGAGTGGGGTTCTGCCGCTGGATATGAGGGGAAAGCACAAGAAAGGTGGGAAGAAAGTATGCGATGCCCTAAAAGAGGATATTCCAAAACACATAAAATCTTTTCCAATAATGCCTTCGCATTATTGTAGAGCCGGTACCAATAATCAATACAAAGATGGGATTTCATCGATGTACAGACAGTATAAAACACATTGCAAAGAAATAGAAAAACCATTTGCCAAAAAAGCATGTATGAGATGATTTTCAATTCAGAATTTAATATTTCCTTTTTTTCAGGCAAAAAAGGACCAGTGTATGATTTGCGAATGTTATAAAAATTCTCTGAAGAGGATTTAAAGCAAGCACGTTATGAAAAATCATGTTCTCTCTGTGCCTTGTGGAGGCATCAGCGCTTTTTTTATATAAAATCTCTGCAAGCAGCAATCGGAAAAAAACTTTACTAAAGACAACAACGGTGCAAATGTGCAGTGGAATTAAATTTGTTCTATAAAAGTAATGAAGAGTAAACCATTTAAAATTTTTTAGAAAAAGTAATTTTCAGAAAATAAATTTAGTGAAATTGATGTCCGCCACAAAACGAGGTCATGATAGCAACATTATACCTACAAAGGTGTATAAAGCACCCATTAAAATTTCGCAAGCAAAAATAAAGGATTTGGTGGATTTGTGTAACAGTAATGCAATTCCCATTCAATACTCGACTTTTTATAAAGAGCTACCCTGTACGTTGACAACAGCTACAGCAGATAATAGTGATTCCGATTAGAAGTGTGTAGTTTACGTTACATAGTTTGCAGGATGAATGTGAACAGACTAGTCTATTTACCGCGAATAATTATAAGTTAACAGTTTTGTATAACAAAAAATATATAAAAAGCAGTAAATCTGTATATTACTGATTAAAAGACAGGCACCCCAACATAGGAAACAAAGTGGACAAGTCGCTTAATCACTAGCTTCATACGGCAACAAGTCACAAAATCATTACTAACGTCTTTAAAATTATTAAAACAAGTACTTTTGTGACTTATGATACGGTCTGCTAACATTGTCGCAGAACAAATAGATGAATCAGACTTTAGTCTGTTGTTTATTACAATTTCAAAAAACCTGTAATCTTTACCATTGAATTTTTCAAAACAATGATTTTTGACTTGTTGCTGTATGGAACTGAATCATCGATATTACTAATACTCCTGATTGCTAGTTGGCGCGTTTTAAATGGTATCTGCAGATTAGCAGCTAACATAAAAAAATTCGTAAATCAAAAATAGAATTTTGCATAAGGCAACGCGCGTGTAAGAAAAACATAATTTCCGCCTGTTCAACTTCGATGTTTTTTTAAGGTGAATATAAATAAAAAGTAAATAATTTTCAGGTGGACGACTCTACTCTAAAGGCGTCCCCGTACGTGCCGGGCGATTTAACGGAACCCCATCATCGTCCGCCCAGCTACCATGAGCTAAGCCAGGATAGGTTTCCTCAGCCATCGCCCGACCCCCCCAAGCGCTACCCGCTCTACCGGGACGATTTCTCCCAACTACCTCCTCTAGAAGATGGGCCGAGCCCAACCAACAAGGTAATGGTCACTTCGCCAACCCCAAACGACCGGGACAGCGCCAAGACGAACCGCATTCTCTCGCCCATAATCAGCGCCATCTCCAACTTCAACCTGGCGAAGAGGCTGCACAAGGAAAACCTGGAGCACAACCCTCTGCCTGACACTATCACCGATTCGATCTATCGCAAGCTGCAGATGCAGCGAATCCTCGGGCCGGATCCAGGCCTAAGTTTGGAGAACGAGCATTATGCGTGTGGAGTAGGTTGGAAGGGATATCCGGGTTTCGGGCCGAACAGATGCACTAAGATGAAGGTGTTCCGACCCCAAACGTGCGCGCAGCACCACAAAAAAGACCGAGACGAAGACAGGCCGGGCAGTAGCGGCAGCTTCGAGCGCAAATGGCGTTTCATTCGGCAAAACAAGGTAAATCCTATTGATTTGGCAATTTGCTGGGACTTGAATCCGGTGGATCCGGAGGATGAGCCGAAGCCCCCAGTGCATATTGACGGCTCAAATGGCTCTCAGGCGCCTGCCGTGTTTTCGCTAGTGCACACGCCCAAAGAAGAGACTGACAATGTGCAAAAATGCGATGGGGTGCACGGGTGCGGCCCCATCTTTGATCACGGAGCGGGGGCTCGGCAGGAAAAGGACTTTGTCTTTGATAGACCGCGCACTTGTGCGTCGAGGCAAATGGGTTCGAAGACAAAGCAGAAACGCTCAAAAAGCGCCCATGACGATGCGGAGAAGACACTTAAGAGCAGAGAGGCAGTGAGCGTGAGCACCCCAAACTTGTGTAAGCCTGTGAATTGCACACAGCACTCCTGCAAGAAACTGGGAGGCCGCTTGTGTGTCGCCTGCGAGCTAAAACACTTGCCCGGCGAGAGAAAAGCCAAAACCGAGTATAAGTTGGCGTTCAAAGCGGGCGTGCCGCAGAAACACGTAAGTAGGACTTGGTGTCGCCAATCTAATCACGTACCTAAACCAACACTTCCATATAGATCCAGGAACTACGCAATCCATAGTCTAGCTCCACCTTTTTCTTTCCAGAAGCATAAACGCGACGATTATCCGGAGCATTGGCGTCTGGCTACCGTCTACCAACATTCATATAAACCGCTTCATGCCCGAAAACGATCCCTGTTGCAAACCGTCTATAAGTAAACCACTGTCACTAGCCATGCTCTCATAAGAACCTTCAATAAACCACTCCTTAGTACCGGAATTAGTAAAGCGATTAGTAGCATAATTAGTTCATATTGAACATTGAGTGAGGCTCGTATTAGAACCAGTCATGAAAAGCCACAATAAATAAATAAAACATGTTTGTCGGGTTTCAATGTAATAAACCAGTGGACTTGCAAGGAGCAGGGTTATTCGTCGGAAGAAAAGGGAAAAGTAAAGATCCTTCGGAGCGTAAGTGACACTTGGCGACGGACTACTCACTCGAGCAATGTTCGACTTAGCGATGATTGAAGAAAAATATATTTACAAGATCAAAATTTAACATTATGTGACCAGATCAGTTTACCTTAGAACAATTTAAGGTTTACACCAAAGTCCATCAGCGACGAGCCTTCTACTGAAACTTAATAAGTACTAATAAAACTAGTGGCGAGTTCTAACGTTACTTACTGCTAGCTTACCTTCAGAAATTATGCATAAAAACGCTGGCTCACTATGCCAGTCTTGAACATTCTAGGGCATCAGCTTCGTATACTCAACGAAGAACGGGCTCTTCTTTACAGTTTCCCACACCTTATTGCAATAAACCAGCCAGGTTTTTTCAGTCAATTGCACATGGGTTAGAGAACTCTTGGTTGCGCCATAAATATTTGCCTTTAGCTTCTTGACCAGGTCTTCCAAAGGCGGATGGCCCTTCAAGACCTTTCCTGCAACAGCTTAATATTGCCAATAAGGCTCAAGATTCATCCGGAAGTATATTTTACTCACTTTCGGAATCGGGCAGGATTTCTGGAATTAAATACAAATTAACTGGATTTCCGCAATTTTCCGCGTTAAAAGTGTTAAGAACTCTGCCGGAAGCCAGCCCCAAGTTGCTTTGGAAATGCATTTTGGTTTTCTGGAACAGCAGCTCGTACGCCTTAAAACAATCCAGTTTGATATTGGATCCGATTAGTATGGAGGGTGGGAACACTTACTCTTTGCATCACTTTGAACTTCGCGGGCGTAAAGTCGCTCATTTGGGCGCGATTGTGGACCATGATCAGATGCGGGGAATGCTCACAGTACTCATCCTCTGGATTAGAAATAGTCGGCTTCAGCATTTCGGCCGTTTGTACAAACCTGCAAGCGCACGATTGATCAGTGAACTCCAGTTATTCTAGCTACGGTTACCTGATGACGTTGCTGTCGAAAAACCAGTCTTGGACTACCAAGAGAACGTGGCAAACTGACATCAGAAAGCCTGTCAACTGAAGCCCCTGGATTTCTCCACTGTTTTCCACGGGGACAAAGTCGCCCACTAGACTCGATCGCTTATTCTCGTTCTCGATCAGCCTATCGAGCACTGCGAGTGACAAAATCGGCTGACAGTCCAGAAAAATCACTCGGTTCGGCGACACATAGATGTTGATGCCATGAGTGGCATTTACGCTGTTCTCAATGTCCTCTACGGTCTCTACGTTGTGAATAAAGCCGACTTCATCCTTGTCTTTGTTTGGTAAGATAGAGTCGTCACTGTATGAGTCGCGCATTGACTCAGTTTGTGACTTGAAGCGCGCTTCTTTTACTTGCTCGGACACCTACATTTGAAATTATACATTCTTCATTTAGAATTAAAATCCACACTACTAATAAGGTGGAATCGCAATTGCTCGTATTGATCTCCAGAGGTATAGAGAGAGCGATTTAAAGTGAAGCTGAATCAGGACAGGAATATTGAGCAAAAGTTTCGAAAATCGCGTCTCGATGCGTTTGTCTCATTCTACCTTGATTAGATGTTTTTTTCAAAAACAGATTCGACTTTAATAACCGAGAAACTTATAAATGTAAAAATAAGACCATTTAAAAGGGCAAATTCGGTTGAATAAACTCCAAGCTTTTGAAATAAATTGAATTCTTCTGAATTCTGAAAGCTCAAACAGACTTGGACACAAGAAACAACTCCCTTCAATCCAGAAGTGACCACCAACTTACGACTTACCTTGGTTTCAGCTAGCAGGTTCAAGATGGTGGATTTGCCAACTCCTTGCGTCCCTACAACGCCCACCACAATAAAGTCGCGGTTCTCCTGCAGGTAGTCCTGAAGATGGTCAATGTTGATGACCCCCTCCTCAATCAACTTCATCGATTTCTTCATTTGCTTGACTATGGGGGGTGCAACTGCAACAAAACACTTATTTCATCAGCTTGAAAGGGGCTAAATTAATCCGAGGACTTGCCTTCTGGTGGCTCCTTGGTGGGGGTGGCGCCCATGAGATATTCAGCTTCCTTTGATTCCTTGGGCACTTTCTTAGTGATGGAAACCTCATCGCTGGGGACCTCTTTGTTCTTAAGCAAAATAGTTGGCTGTTTCACATCGGCGCTGTCTTTGTGTCGGGATATTGTGGCAGCCCTACCAGATAGCGACTTGGCGGTGCTGTCCTGTAACGTCGTATGGCTTTGTAAAGACCACTGACTCTTAGGCTACCAACTTACCCGGCTAGTATGTCGGTTTTTGTTGGAAATTATCTTTTTCTTTTCAGATTCGGACATCTTTATATATTTTTTTAGTCAAGGTTCAATATTTGTTGACATTTTTCTTAGGTTGTGGGCGATTCTTCTTCTGTAAGAGCGCCTAACTGTCACATTTCAGTCGGTTTATTTTCGTGCCCCCTCACTCTCTTACGCGTTTGGAGGTATTTTATTTGTATAATTTTTCTCATCTAGAAATAATTACTAGTACATACACTGCACTATTTAATCAAGCGCAGTTTCATCTAATTTTGATAAAAAAATGATTATAAACAAGATATCGACTTCACTCAAAAATAGAAAAAGAAACTCAATTTTCGTGTGAACCAGTTGCAATAACTAGCCATTTATTGGCTATCCAAAATAATAAAAACATAACAAAGCAACAACTTAATGGACATTGTTAAACGCCCGCGAATAAAACAACTTTTCCTTATTCAAGTAGAGCTGCCTCTTTCTTTTGGCGGCCTCGAACGTGTTTCTAATGCTGCGGTCGTTCGGGTGCAACTTGTAGGCGATTTTGAGGTCCTGCAGCGCCCCATCGTACTCTTTGAGCGCCAGCTTGGCGCACGCCCTCCTATAAAAGGCCTTGCCGTTGTCCGGGTTGTGTGCAATCACCTACAAAGCGCCTTAAATGAGGCCTTGCGAGCGCCAGCAGACAACGTCTCACCTCGCTGCTATGCTGTATCACCTCCGCGTTTTTATTCAGCTTCAGCCGCACCGCGCAGAGGTTCAGCAACACGTTGTAGCGAAACTCCATGAAGGAGTTGTCCGCTCTCTTGGAGGACTTTTCGATGAACCAGTCAATATACCTACAATGGGGGAAGAACTTCAGACTTCAGCCTCCCCCCAAAGAGCAAGGCAGATCTTGCCTCAAGACCTTCTTGTACTTGCGCTCGGCGTCCTGGTAGCTCTGCTTGTGGTAGAAAATGTGGCCCGAGCCATTGATATCTCGAATGACCCCAGTCAGGAGATGTTCGTCGACAGATCCGTTCCAATCGTTGGGCCATGGGGGGTAAACGTCGGCCGTCCCGTCGTTTTCCTCTAAACACCAGGGCTCGCCCGGTTTCAGCTCTCCGCAGTCACAGATCACGATGTCCCCTTGCGGAATGTCATTCTCGCGAGGGATTTCCGACATATCCTGGATAACGTCCAAGCCCTTTACTACCTTGCCGCAGACCACATTCTGATCGTCCAGGTGTGGGCAGGGTTGCGTGGTGATGTAGAATTGGGAGGAATTTCTTCCAGAACTGTCGATGGATAGTCCCACCATGCCAGGCTCTGTGTGCTGGAATGGAATTGTTCAAAAAATCAACTCTTCAAAGAATTTCAATAAATCGAAGGATATCTTTGTACCTCTACTTCGCGCGCCTCTGAGGGAAAGTATTCGCCATAAATACTGTCTCCGCTCGTTCCGTCTCCGTTCACAATATCCCCGCCCTGCACCATGCACAAGGGAACCACTAAAACAACCGCACACTTAATTAACATATGTCTAATTGTTTTAAAAATATTTTTCTCGTAGCATCCCACTGAGAGCATATAACCCCTTAAAAGGAATGAGGCCAATTTTGAATTATCCTGTATAACACCATTTTTCATGGCAATTAACAAAGAACCTCGAGCGACGACTGATAGCACTTGAAATGGAGTTGTGGAAAAGATCTGCAGGAGAATCAAAAATGGCAATTAAGAATTCGTAAGAATGCAGAGAGCTTGTCAGAGCGGAATTTGCATCCAGGAGATGGGGAAGACAAAAGAGGCTGAAGACTGGGCACCGGAAGGCGTAGGAGGCCGGATTAACTTTACTATAGCGACTAAAACACAACAATCGATTGGAAGTCACGCGCGCTACAAGTGCAGAGCAGGTGACTCTGGCAACAGGTGAGACTTCATCAATTGTCATCAAACTCAAAATTTCCAGTAAAATGTGCGACTGCAACGAATCCCCTTTCGCCAAACTGCGCGAAAGTTGGTCGCGCCACTTCACCCTTACCACCAAAGGCCAAGGCCAGTGCTCGCACTCAGAACCGCCCCTCAATTGCCCGACCAAAGGCAAGTTTGGGGTGGCCTACATTATAGAAACCCCCACGCGAAAGTGCAGACCCTGCGGATGGGAGGTGGAGTTCAACGACACCCCTTCGCAAATCGACACCAACTGCAAGAAGATGATGCAATGGATCACATGCCCCCCTTTAGGAGACTACCCCAACTGTTGCTGCTCCAGCACCCCCAAAGAGACTCTAAGGGCGGTACGCCAAATGTGCTGCAAATGTGCTAGGGAGAAACAGGACAGCAGCGGCGACTGCTGTTGTCGCAAACCAGTGGAGAAGAAATGTTGCTGTTCGAAGCAACCAGAGCACCGTTGTTGTAGAGCAAAGCAAGGCCAGCAGGTCTACTTGGAGTCTAAAATCCAGTGCCGCCATTGCCGCGCCCACTCAAACGCCAAGCCACGCCCCTGCCAGCCTCTGGACAACGAAGAGCAGTGCTGCTGCAACAAAACAACCACTTCTCCCAAGTGTTGCGACAGCGACAGCCAATCCTCTTTAGAGGACTGTTGCTGCCGCAAGAAGCAGCCCAAGAAAAAGTGCCCTTGCAACAAAGCGCCGAGGCGAGGGCAGAAGCAGAAGGCAACCACAACCACTGTCCCCCAAGTGAAAGATGTGGGGCAGCAGTCAAAAAACTCCCATAGCCCCCTATCGGAGCAGCCGAAACCAAGAGCTACTCCAAGATCACCCTATACAATCAGCTTGCCTAAAGAACCCAAGAAAGGGCCGGACAAGGAGGAGACTTTTCACGAAGAGCTTGCTAGGCGAGTGAAGGAACTGGAGGAAGTTGAAACGTTAAAGCAGCTAGAAGAGATTCCGGTGAATGTTACAGACTACGAAAACCCGATGGAAGAGAAGATATCCGAAGAGACAATAGCTGGTAATTCATTTTGATGGTTTCTACAAGGTGTCCCATCGAAATCCGCTTTGCTCTACTGAATAGTGAAATTTAATTTGGAAATATTTTCAAACTCAGCAGGAGCAAGAGATCTAAAATGTTTTCAAGATTACCGCACTTTTGGTTATTCCGAAAGCAGGCATAAACTTGCTTATTTCAAATGGAACACCCTGTATTTATTCAACTATCTACAACTATCCCTACATGCTCAACTCTTAATTCATGTTTAGTTGAGCCTCTAGTCAAAGCAAAGCGCCCCAAAGCAAAAATCAAACGCAAAGCCCTATTGAGGATGATCAAGGAAGGGCGCAGACGGGAAACAGAGGCAATCCGTCCCAAGCCCCCTACAGCGAAGGTTGTGGTAAAGCCGCAAGACCCCATTCCAAGAAAAGTGAAGAAGGTCCCCCGGAAAGCCCTACTGAGGATGATTAAGGCTGAGCGCAAAAAAACCCTGAATGTCATCCATCCCCACTAAGTTCCTGAAATAAATGATCGTTGTGTTCGCTTACCCCTATGCATTCGGGAGCCCTTGTAGTAGAGGAGCTTGCCCAGCTGGCCCATGCCTTTCTCCCCAGTGCACAAGCAGCGAAAGTTTTCTGCGGTTTTTGGGGCCACATCAAGGAACAACTTGATGATCACTCGCCCAGCTGAAAAGACATTCGAACGTTATTAATTAGATAGAGTTAGGGGGGTACATAAATTAAAGGTAAATAGTGCAGTGAAGCACAAATGTGGCGTATATGCACTCACCAGGAACTTGGTTGAAGGCAAAATCCAGAAACACGAAACAGTCACCTTTGGCCATTTAGCAGGGCTTCAGAGGGCTGTTTGGTTTGAAAAGTGCGATTTTGGCAAGGTTAAAGATGTTTGTGATTGACATCTAGAAGTAAATATGTCACTTTCATAGTTTCATAAACAGTGACTGTCACTTTGACTGTTAATAGGAGAAGGACAGAGAATGTGAGAAAGCTGTCTCACATTCGCTCGGTACTTGTTGCTGGCGTTTGCTGGCACATTTTAGGTTATCCTTTTGTTTATTTTGCCCAGTGGTTTTAAATAAGAAACTCACCGCTTTTACCTCTGCCCCAATAGATGCCCAGAATTGCCGCCAAGTCAAGAAAAGTATCCTTTTATTTTCCGAATGCAATATTTCAAGGAACTTATTAATAACGTGAAACTTACAACGGCCATGTATTTCAGGCCGCCCGTGGAACTCTGTATCCTTTTACCTGCTCATTGCATGCTGCTTACATTAACACTCTAAGGGACATATTAATAGCGTGAAACTTACAACGGATTTTGGAACTTTAGGCTTGATATTGTGGAACTTCCTGCAAAACTTGCTAAACGAGCCGTGGAAGCAGTACTGCGATGTGATTCGTTGGCTGGACGAAGACCAAGGAGTTTTCAAAATAGTCGACGCTCCCACACTGGCTAGGCTCTGGGGCAATACCAAGAATATCCCCAATATGTCTTACGAGAAGATGTCCAGATCGATGAGAAATTACTACAAGAGTAACAAGATGAGAAAAGTGCCGGGGCAAACAAAAGTTTATCAGTAAGAGATGTGGAAGCTAGCATCGCTTTGGAGCTAACAATAAGGATTGCAGGTTCATATTTAGCCAGAAGAACCCCCCACATGTTGCAACTGACAAACCTAGCAGGAGCTCTTATTGTCCAAAACAAGTAGAGAGAAATGCAGGAACTGGTGGTATCTTCTAGTGAAACTACGGCTGTTTCTACAGGATTAAATAAACAAATATATTTTATTCTTTGTTAATTACGCGTCTATTTAAGTGATTCTTGATACTTGATTCTATAAATACCTCGCACGATTTTTCATCTTTGGAGCCTCACATGAATCGAATGAATGTTATCATCAAACAATCAGATTGTCTTGGAATCTCGACAAGTAAATCATTGATTGATATGCGCTTAAACTGAAGCCCTCATTCAGCGTCCACGAAGCAAAACAATGCCAATAATTCATCGAGAAACGTTGATAAGATGTTACGACAAAGTTTGTTTAAAATTAACCGCCACTTAATGTACGTTATAGGTGCTGAGTGCCATTGTATAGGCACTTTTCACTTCAAAACGAACTCCAGGAGAAATTTTGCATAGTTTTCAAAAGTTTCAAACTGGGAGTCAATTTGGAGAAAGTTTAAGATCAGTCTGTTGAGCGAAGTGTTTCCAGGCTTTGATGGCTTGATTTTTAGGAAATAGCCAACGGACCTTTTGAGCAATTGATGGTTTTCGCTTAAAACAAGTGTATCGCAAATAGAGTGGAAGTTTCTGTATGCTTCGCTTGCAGGAATTTGAATTCAACAAAGGAGCCTTTCTTCTATAGCTAAAATTACAGGGTTTTTGCAGACTCATTCGTTTACACTTATCTGAAGCATCCGTTTCCTGTAACTTAAGCCGAAAAATGATTGGAATTTTGGTCAAACAAACGCAGTACGATAGAACATCATGACAATTAATCGGGTACTTTAAAATCGAAGTGTTTTGCACAAGTAGCAGATAATGGGATTAAAGCATCCTTGGCGTCACGATTTTGCTAATCTTCCTTGAGAATTAAACAAACAATTAATGGACTCCAATCACGTTTTAAGCATTCTGGGCCAGAAGGCGAATGCCTAAGGCATTAATGGATGTCTTCCTGATTTAATTGAGACTTAATTTGAAAGGAACCCCTGACTCTCTTAAAGTACTTAAGAACGGCTTTACTTGTGCGTTAGGATTAATGGGGTATTACTGACGCACTGATTGGAATGTCGCAGCTTCATCATCAATATCCAATCCCATCCAAGGTGCGCATTTCTTAATTGATCATCGCCTCCTAATCTAGTGATAAAGGCGGTATAAATTGAAAATCGGCAACATTTTGCTCCAGACCCCTAAGAACATCGTTTCAGACCACATCTCTGGTGGAAACGTTCACTCGCAACAACCATGGTTCTTAAGGCTTGTGCGGTTTTATTTCTGATCCTGGGAGTCCAGTGGACGTTGGAATGGGAAACTCTGGAGCCTAGTGACGACACCTTGGTGCTCACCCATGTGGTAAATACAATACTTAATTTAACTTGTAATAATCATTGTCGCTTTCTCGCTGTGTTCTGGCTCTGAACATTGGCGGGGATATTCATATAAAGATAATTCAATATAATTATTAAAAATTTTGTTATCTGGGAGAATCCTTTTAGTAACTAACAACTATCTGCCCAATTTTTTAATTTCTGAGGCCAAATGCACTCATAAAACTTTCTTTAGTTGTTCCGACATGGCAACAGAACGGCCGACAAGGACCACGAGCTCTACCCCAAGGACCCCTATTTGCACGAGCCCTACTACCCTTACGGTTCAGGTCAGCTCACCAAGGTGCGTTAATTAAAAGCAGTTAATTGGGTGTAGTTGGCTAATACCCAGCCTGTTTAGGTGGGAAAGCACAAGGAGTTCTCTGTAGGGAGATCGCTGAGGGAGCGCTACCACAATTTCCTAGGCGAGTTTTACTATCCGGAAGTAATTGAGGCCTACAGCACTGATTACAATCGCACCAAAATGTCGCTGCAGCTCGTCCTGGCCGGTCTGTTTCCTCCCAGAGAAGAGGACCTGTTCGAGAACAGCATTCTCTGGCAGCCAGTGCCTTTCAACTACCTTCCAAAGTACCAGGACAAGGTCCTACTTGGAGTGCTCTGCCCCAACTATTTGGAGATGTATGAAGACATCAGCAAGTAAGCCACTGGAATTGCTTTCAGCGTCTGGGGAAATTAACAATTCTCTACTCTAGCTCGCAAGAGATCTTGGAGAGGTTCGCTCAACATTCAGCGACCTTTGACTACATTTCCGAACACACCGGACTCAAGGTTTCCCGCTTTTTCCACCTCTACAACCTCTACTTCGGACTGTCCACTGAGGAGGAGTGGGGTTTCACCTTACCGGAGTGGACCAGACCCGTGTGGCCCCACACCATTACAAATCTAGCCATTCAAGTAAGTTATGACTATACGTGACGGTACTATGCGGAGGATTGCAAAATAATCTACTTAAAATCTGGTATTTTAACAAAAAATACGTATAGTTGTACTCATTGGAGTAACTTGCTCCTCAGATGCTTGCAAAACGGCAGGAAGAACTTATTTTCCACCGAGCCATAAAGCTCGAAAAACTCACCAGTTTTGAAGCCATGTTCGCGACAAGCCCTTGATCATGAAACTTAAAAGACGAACTATTTCATAATTTACCACCATCTCTGCTGTTAATTGTTCAGTTCGTTCTTCCTGTTGATGACCAATGCTCTGGTTTTCTCAATGTTCAAAATGCTTCACTTAGATAGAGATTTAAATTATTTCGCTCATTCGCCCAATTCAGTTCTGGTCCAGTACTGTGCAACGACTTTAACCAACTGTGCATTTGCAGGACTACTTTGTATCGATGCATACGCATGAAATGCGCCAAATGGCCACCGGGTACTATTTGGAAAAAGTGATAGAAGACACCAAGAATAAGATCTTGAGCAGCAAAAGCCCTGGCAGGAAGATGCACCTTTACTCCGCCCATGAGAACAACATCGCTGAGCTGCTGATCAGTTTGGGCGTTTTCGAACATCCCCATGTGCCAAATTACGGCGCCTGGGTGTCTTTGGAGGTCCATTTCATCAACAACATCTACGGCATTAAGGTGAGTTGTTTGCATCTAGAAACGAGACCTCTCTAATCTAGTGGCTTTTCAGGTCTTTTACGAGAACCATGAAGGAGAAGAACCACAACTGCTCTCCATACCAGACTGCGGTAGTTTCTGTCCCTTGGACAGGTTTATCGCTATCACTGAGCCGTTGATTCCATCACCGAACTTGTGCGGGATCTAGTTGGATTGGATTGCGGTGGCTTTGGCGGAGAATCTCCTATGTTGTGAATGTCCTAAGTTATTTGAATGTCCCATTTTCGCCACCGCTTTTTTTTTGCAGTTGAAATAAATGTTTCCCACTGTTACATTGACGATCTTTTATTACATGGCTGCTGCTCATCGACGGCTTGAAAGCCGTGAAGGGCATGATTGCAAGTTAATTGTAATTAATTTATTATGGGAAATTCGAATAGGCAATTCCACAGTCGCTGCCAGGCCTTTTAAAACGTTTTGGGATAACTTTTTATAAAGATAGTTGTTTTGAGTTCCTAATAAAGGTACTTACGAGGATTGAAAATAAGTGCGTCTACTTAAGTTCGCACCATAAGGAAAAATTTTTCATTCACAATCCGACGAAAAAGAGTTATTCTTCATAAAAAGTTCCGCTTGATCCAAAACCTAAGGGCAACCATCAGGTATTCAGCTTACAAATCAGCTGGATTGGAAGTGTCGAAGTTTCAAAAGCTATCTAAAAAATGCGTATTTTAACCACTGTGCTCTTATTGCATTTCATTACTTTTCCATACAAAAAATTATTAATATCACACCTTTATCACTGTGCAAAAATCTAATTCTTCAATCGCAATAGTTTCAAACTAATTTTCGTTTGTTACCATGTATTCATTTAATAAGCGTCTCTATATATCGTTAAGAATGCATAATAGTTTTCCTACGGGAATGATTCTTTAATTACTGACCAACCGAACCACCGCATTCTAACAACTAAAATTATAATTAGAATTGAATCAACTCAAATTAGAATTTGCCCTTTAAATGGCAAGATCGGTTGCAGTAAAAATAATCGATCGAAGCAAACTGATGGTGTCAGTTAGTTAACACAGTTGAAAGGTTACTTATTCTTTACGGATAAAAAATGGCTTTACGAATTAATTTTTTGAAGGTAAGTGGGCTATTAATTTGTTTCAAAAGTGTACATATAATGAAATAAAACTTGTGTGCTTTATCAGATTTGTGGAGCAACGAGGGCCTTCGCGACCCAGGCTAGTAGGGACAAAGTAAGGCAAAATCTGGAAGCCAAAAAGAAACTCTTCCAGGCAGATAACGATATTCCAGTACATATAAAAGGTGGTTTTAATGATCAAATTTTGTACCAAGCCACTAGGATTGCTATTTTTGCTGGAGTAGTTTATTCTTTGTATACTGCTGCAACAATGATACTCAAATCTGTTAAATAGTGTTCTATACCCCAGTAATATACATATATAGTTGGTCGCTGTTTTTCTGTTAATTTGAACGGGATACAGCCGAAATAAGCAGATATGCGTAAATAATTGTTTATTATTAAAAATAATAACAAGGCATGTTAATAATTAAACAATTTACAAACCTTTAGTTGAAGACAGATGAGTTTGATAGTTTAATCCACTCTTTTCTGCGCCGCTGATAGATTGATGATTCTACACAGTTCTAATAGGATGAAACTCAAATAATAAAAAATACAGTTCCAATAAAAAGGCAGGCGTACCTCCTCTCCCTTAGAGGTAATGTACTGCGTGTCGGACGGTCCCACTTGAACAGGAAACCCCCATCGCCCATGCTTTTGTTGTATCCAAATTCATATTGCTGTCCAGGAGCCTATAAATGACGCAAATATATCGGAAGCCAGCTAAATCACATAAAAACGTACCTCATCCATTACTCTGAAATAGATCTCAGAGTCCTCACCACTCATTAGCAGTTCTGGAACATCATAGGTCTGTACATTCGCGTAAGACAAAATGTCTTCCTTCTGATCGGCATATCTGAAAATGTAACGTGAAAGTGCGAAGGGAAGTGATGAGTCTGATTTACCTAGAGCGTACACAGCCCCATTCTTCCTCATTCGGCAGGTTCCAGTCCTGGAAGTGCGAATCTTGCTCGTCGTATTTGTCAAAATCAATCGCTTCTACATCTTCAACGACAATATCAGTGTCTCCTTCCACGGTCCAATCGTACACCAAAAGCTCAGCGTTTGGACTGAAACCAATGATTCGAAAACCCATCCCACGTACAGCTACAGCCAACAACACTCACGACATTTCTTTCAAGTACTTCTGTTTGTACGTCTTTTCCATTACTTCCAAATATTGTTGGGTGAAGACAGGAGAATTCTTTTCGTAGCTGATGTTACGTTGTCGCACGTTTTCTAAAACCTTTGAAACAGGTACATCCAGGTATATAATCAAATGTGGTTTTAACAAGTGATCTATGGTGCTTCTTCTGAATTCATAATATTTTTTATATGCTGAAATACAAAATAAAGTGTCACTCCGAAATTGTAATGCTCCGAGCATTACCAGGCTTGGACAAGTATTTTTGACTGTACATCGCTTCAACAAAAACAAAGTCAGAAAAGGCACATCTATCCAAGACAACGCCCTGTCCCGTACTCAAGAGATGAGCCAATGCATCAATATATTGAGAAACCCTGAAAAGCGGACAAACTGAAATACCACAAACACCCGAAATCTTAGTAGTTTACTTAATCATATATTGCTCAATTTGCCACCTGGCCACCAACATATGGTTGGGGTTTCGCATGAAATCCATAACATCAAAGCTTTTGCACGAAGGGGGCAGCATAGAGTCTAATTGCCTCAAGTCGTACCCATAGGGATTGATGTATTGCATATCCAAATTGGCTTCGGGATAGTAAATCATTCCAAACGATTTTGCTATTTCTTTCGCCAACTTTGATTTACCTGAAGCCACTGGGCCTTCTACTATAATCAGCTAAAAGGCCCATATGAGGTTTGCTCCATCCATAACAGTTACGATAGTTACCTTGGTATTTTCATCAAACCTTGGAGTTGTTTTATCAAAGAAATACTGCAGGTTGGTGTACGGCTTCTCATTGTAGGGCCAGGGCTTTGGCTTTGGGGGCAACTCGTCTAACCTGCTGGTTATTGTTCTCGTTGACTGATAGTTAATTTTCACAAGCAGTGACCTGGGAGCAATAAGTGATGCTTTACGAACACCAATTCGAATGAGGCTGGTCATTTCCAGGGATCTCAGTTCGATTTGCCTTTTATGTAATAGAGCTCTTATATTGACAACAGGGTTGACGTTACAATGTATAACCTCAAACAGATAAAGACCTCAAATGCATTCTCTCTTTTTCTACTTGCGTCTAGCGGCAGTCCAGATATTCATGTGCGCGAATCTTTACAGTTCTGCCCCGGTGAATGGCGCGCAGTTTGAAAATTTACATTTCGTGCCGTGATGTAGGCCTGGGTAACACTGTGTTGAGTTGCGCTATTGAGTTGTTGCCGCTCTCTGAGTTAACGAGTTATCACTCATCGGTTAATAAGTTACAAGTCATTTATTAAAGCGGATAAAAAGGTTGATTACTTTAACATTTTTTCTGAGTAACGTTTTACTACTTTGTTCAAACAACTAAAAAAAGTAATCTAGATTTTCCCAGCAAACGTACTGAGTTCAAAGAAAGCCGACGAGTTTTCTTGTAAAAGCAATCTCTTAATTTTTTTACATAAAAGATTCAGTTTGCCAGTATTTTATAGTAAAACGTTAGGAAAAACGCGTTTTTTTCCGTTTAGAGACAGTGTTAGAAATACTGACCTAAACGTGAAGAAACCACAGTTTCCAAGAGTTTTCCAAATAAATGATTAAAAACTTTCGCTTTTTCAGTTAGGGGAAATATTTTTGGAAAAAGCCCCAGAAATAATTATTACGGTTTTGTCCATAATTCAAAGCTGCGAAAAGTTTTCCAAAATATATTGCTAAGCGGTTAAGGAAGCGAGTATTCCAATAAAATATATCTTATAATTTATCAAAGAAAATATTCGAAGATTGTATTTTAAGCAAAACCAAAAAATAATGCGATTTCTGTGTAGAAAAATTGCTTAATAGAAACTTTGTTAAGACCAGGGCCGCGCCAAGCCGGTCTGGCGCCGTCGTGCGAGTTTGGACAGACTATGTTCTATATTTTTTTCTAAATTTTATGACAAAAAGCCAATTAAATAAAA